ATACAAATTTTTAATGTATCTCGTTTATTTTGAGTCTTAAATTAGTCTTTGTTAGTGTTATCATTGATTTGATACATCACTGCTACAATAACATTTTTTTTATGCAATGTATATTGTTCATATTTAAGGTATTGATACATAACTCTAATGTTATTGAATCTTTAATTAGTGTTTATCATGTTCAATAGAAATGTACTTGATACATAAACTTTGTGTTATTTATCACACACACACAAAAAAAGAAGCTATTTTGAAACAATTACATGTATAATATATTTTTTTATATTTTAAAATATAGTATTTCTCAAACAAAATAAGATACATAAATAATAATGTATCATACACTAAGTGTGCATCGGTCGGTTCGGTTTTATAAATTATCGGTTCGATTTATCGGTTTTCAATTTTTAAATACACTAAACCAATAACGAACCAATAAGATAATTTTTTATCGGTTTTCGGTTTATCAGTTTTCGGTTTATCAGTTTTGATCCTTAACGGTTCAGTTTTCGGTTTAACCAATAAGAATATGTTTATAAAACAAATATATGACTTCTCTAATAAATTTGACACGACAAGACAATAATGTAACTTTACAAAAGCTCATAAAATAGAAATAATAATAACAAACATGAAAAGAACTATATATGTGTAACACAAAGAGAAATAAAGAGGAATATGATTCTTACTTTAGGTTTTGGCGATTTGTATAATGTAAAGTTAATTATGAACTCAAAGTCACAGCGAAGTATGAATTGATAGCTAAATGACAAGGACATAACTATTAAGATATTGAAATTAATATTTATTAATATGTATGTATATGTAAAATTATTAAATCACTATAGTCTTAACTCTTAATGGGTTATCGGTTTACCCAATAACCCAATATTGAAAACCAATACCGAACCGATAACCCAATAAATTTTTTTATAAAACCATTAAGAAACAGTTAACCCAATAACCCAATAACAATAAACCAATAACACTTCTTTCGGTTCGGTTTATCGGTCGGTTCGATTTTTGCACACCCCTATATCATACACTAATTTTTTAGTTATGATACGTAAATTCGAATTTATACTAAATGTATCTGATACATAACAATTACAAAATAATAATGTATCGATCTCAAACCTAAAATCTTATGGGCAACACTTTCTTATTTAATGTATCTAGTAGAAATACAACACTTATCAATTTAAATTGAAAGGATCTTCATGATGTATCTTCTCAAAAATTTTGATAATTTTGAATCAAAATTGAAAGAATCTTCAATGAACTGGAGAAGAATTTGTCTATATGTATCCAGATATATGCAAATTCACCTAGATACATGTATCTAGAGCAAAATTACACCTAATTTTGATCTCATATATCCTGAGATACATGTATCTGGATATATCTAGACTCACCAAAATCCTGCAAGACTCGTAATATTGTAGTGTATCTAAGCAATTATCTCATAAACTAGCGAAATTTCTATAAATTACCCCTTTATTTTCACCATCGAAAATCATATATTTTTAAATTTATTTTTAATTAGTCGTAGGTGAAATTCAAATATTTTTTCTTTTATTTTAAACTAGGCATTGTTGGTGAAAGTCAAAACATATTTTTTCTTCTATTTTAAAATATCCTAGTTAAAATACAAAATAAATAAATAATCTAGTTAGCAATATCAGATATATAGGAGGGTGACAAGCAAGATAGGAGGAAGACAAGCGAGATTTATCTATATGTATCTCAAAGATATCCAAATCCACTTGAATACAATATATCTAGAGCAAAATTACACCTAATTTTGACCCCATATATCCCGAGATACATGTATGTGGACGTATCTGAACTCACAATCCGATAAGATTTGTAATATTGCAAACTAACGTGTATCTAGGCAATTAGCTATAAGTTACCCCTTTATTTTTACCGACGAAAATCATATATTTTTAAACTTATTTTTAATTAGTCATAGGTGAAATTCAAATATTTTTTCTTTTATTTTAAACTAGATATTGTAGGTGAAAGTCAAAACATATTTTTTCTTCTATTTTAAAATACCCTAGTTAAAATACGAAAAAAATTCTAGTAAGCAAACTAGGTATTGTAGGTGTAATTTTATTGGTGGCACCTTGGAAAATACTGAGTAATTTCACGTATAGTACCTGCTAAAAGAAATTGTGGACGTAATTTCTTGTTTGATACTTACCTAAAACTGAGTTGATAAAAATTCAAACACCATGAATTATTTTTTAAATTTGAATATAAAGAGTCAAAGTCATATTCTTTTTTTAACATTTGAACTATATGTTCGAAACTATATGAATTTTCAAATAAAACTCATTGTGTTGGGATTTTTCTCTATTTTAGCTGGAGACGAGAGAATTTTATCATTCAAAAATTATTTTCACTATAAATAAAAGTGATTAATTTATTTTAGATACTCATTTCGTTACGAATTCTTACTTAGATAATTTAACTCCCTTGAATGAGAAAAGTCTTTTGTTATTTTTTCTTCTCAATAAGAATTAAATAATTAATTGATTACACATCAATTTCAAAATCAATTTTTTCTAGAAACCAAATTAATTAATGATTCATGCAATTGCAAAATGCACAATGAGTACCATTTAAATAGAGCAATCAAAATAGGACGATACCATATTTCCTCTCTCCAACAATAATTGTCCATTATTGAATAATAGGAGTAATAGTACTTCATTACCTTTTGAATGCATTAAATTTAATGCTTTAGAAAGTGTACTAGATAGATGTTGACTAATATTTAATAGGAAGGGTAATATCGACACAAAAGATAAATTATGCTTTGATTTTTCAAATGAGACAAATATTTTAAACACCAATTTTTTTAATATAATGAACAAATAAAGATAAACGGATTCCTAGTTTCCTTCGTCAGAAACGGCCAATATATTTCAGTCAGCCAATACTAAATCGCCACGTAGATAACGTCAAAGTCAAATAATACATACACGGCGACTTATAAGTCATTTTTTCCTAGAAACCAAATTAATTAATTTGTCTCCTATATATAGCTACGACAATTCTACAAACGCGTAGTACGCAAAATAAATAAATCTGAATTTTATTTATTTTATTATCGCATAATAATCAACATCAATTCGATCACCGGAGATGGCGAAGTACGATGAACCGGCGGTCGGAATCCCTTACAATCCGTCGGCGCCGTACCAAGCTCCGATGCCGCAGCAATTTCAGCAGCAATACTATGTAGGTCAAAATCCTTATCAAGCAGGTATGGTTCCACCAAACGCCATTTATGGAGATCCTAAAGGAATTCCGATTCAACAAACTATTTACAGAGATACTCCTGCTCCTTTCAATTGCCTTCACTGTGGTAATACCGGTCTCACCCAAATCAAGTAATTCTTCTCCTTTTTACCTCTTTAAACCCTTTTTTTTTTGGGATAATTGCAATTTGCAGCTTTGGTTCTCTGTTACTCTATATTGTTGTTGTTGTTGTTCTGTTGTTGGTAGTCTAGAACTTGCTCGGCATGTTATTGAAGCGAAATCAAAGTATTGCTAGGTTTAGAGGATGATTGTGGGCTTTCGTTGTTATGTCTTGTGTGTTTTAGTATTTTGAGATATTGTATCAGTAGTTAGTATTCTTGTGTTTGTAACGTTTCGTTTGATAGTAGTAATTTTGCCTTGATTGATCAATAATACAATTTGACAGTAACTAAGGGAGTAAAAGTGGAAGTTTTCTTTGGTTTGTCTGCAACGTGTGTGCAACTTTGTTGTTCTATTCATGGTATGATCTTTTGGTGATGAATTCTCACTAAAAGCTAATTCACCTTATAACTTTATCAACGAATTTATCAATATTCAAAATGAAGTCGAATGGTTATTATGGGACCAAACTAAAATTGAAAAATGTAGTTGATTCAAACTAGTCTGGGATTGACCTTCAGTAGTAGCAACATCAGTTCTTTTTGGATAATGATGATATGGCAAACAGTTTGGACACAAACATTTAATCTGGCACGTGCATTTTCCCACCCGTGCAAATACGTTTAACTCTACCTGCCAAACTTAGGCTAATCAAAAGAAATTACATAGGAATTTGCTTAATCTGTCGTGATGATAGTTTTATCATATTATTCAACGAATCCTTGAAGAATTGGAATGAACTTTTGTGGAAGCCTAATATCCTAATGAGGGCTCTTTATATTTCTTGAACCTCCAATAAGAATCACGTTCCTGCACTAATGAAACACCAATAAGTTGTACAGAGTATGTATGGATTAGTTTGACATTTTATTCGTAGAAAATTTGATATAGCAATTAATGTTCAAAAAGATAATGAATTTAGCAGCTTCCGTATTTTTGTTGTTTGTTCAGTTGAACTGCAATTTCCTTACTTGTTTTTATTCGATTGAAATCATTTCAATTTGACTGCTTTAAGGATATTCACCAGCTTATTGTTGTACCAACACAAAGTTAAACCTCCCAACAGCTTCGTCTCAGTCCCAAACAAGTTAGGTCAGGAAAAAGTTAAACCTCCCAAACCTAGAAAAAAGAAGAAGGAAAAGATAAATATACCACAGGTTTCTGTATCTCTGGTTTGCTAACTGCATCACAGTTAAGTTGGATAAGAAAGAATGAGGAAGTTGGAAGAAGTTTGGAAGAGCATACCCCTTTTGCACACCTGCTACTTTTACTAATGCAGGGTGCAATAGTTTTATACATATTGGGGTATGGGGCATGCAAAAACATTCTGTTACTTTATTCTCTGTGTAGATAAATCTTGGTTGAACCATGGAAAGCTCACAATCACGTTTCATTCTATAACTGATATCGGGATTATACTCTGTAACAAAATAGTGCAGTTTTTTTTCCCCTCCTTCTGGATCCTTAAGCAAACACAGTCCCTATCCCACCTTCGTTGATAAGAGGTAACAGGTGTGAGACTTTAGTATACCGCAGGGGCCTATTTTCATCCCCTTGTTACTGATATTCATTAGTATTACTTTTGCACTTCATGTGACTACAGATAGACCATGTTTATGCAGATGTTGTTGGTGACACGGCTTTATCAAGTCCTTTCATATGAGATGTGGCAATATTTAAGTAAATAGTATTCATTGCTTTTGAAGTTTGAGCATCAGAATTCATTCCTGAGTTAAGTGTACTGCTGATTCTTTTGATGGCTACTTAAACGAAAACTTCATCCACTTATGATGTTAAGCTTAATTAAGAGATTTTGAAATTCTTCCATAGTCGAGAACAATTAGTAAGCAGTCAACCCCCTTCTTATTTGCTTCCGAAGAAAAACATGAACAGTCTTCTCCAGATTCTTTCATTGGCTAATGGTGATTTCCAAAATAAAAAGGGTTTCTTGTGGTCTTAAAGATGCTAAAGACCTTGGTGGGCAGAGTCACCCGTGTATCTTTGTTGGTGGAGGTAGCAAGTACAAAGTGAAATAGTCCAGGTGTGGTAACAGAACGCCACCATTATTGAAAGGAAAAGGAAAGGAAAAAAAGGATGTTTAAGAAACAGACTGCTGCAATAGCAATATTTACCGAGACGTGTGATTTTCACTGCATTTACACCTTAGACAGAGACATTGCCATTCTCCTCTGTTAATGGTCTACCAGAGTGACTTACCTTTCTCAAAAAGTTTGTCTACCAAAATAGCATTTCTTAGAGTACAGAAGTGTCTGTTAGGGGAAAAAGAAAACTGATTTCCATTTTCCAATCTCAGTGGTTTGATATTGTCACAATATCAGACCCATGTAGGAAAATTGCTGGGCCAAAGTCCATCAAATCCAATAGGTAGAAGCCCAAACTTACAAATTACAAAAGGTAGACTATCCATATGACAGTGACACATTCTTAGCATGAATTTTTTCGTTGACTTTGTAACTGACCAAGTTTAATGTATATGGAGCAGAGATAGATTATACATACACATACATACATACATATAAAATTCATACGCTGTGCATATGTCTGAATATCATGTTGCAGCTCATGGATTGATTCAGCTGAATTGGCTTGCATACCACTGGCAGCAGTAAGGGATATTTTTGAGTTAGAGGAGTTTGATATTACATTAATTCCTCTCTATTTCTTCCATTTTTATAGCTAAGCTCATCTACTCTCTTTACTCAAAGTCAAGAACATAAATATGATGATCCTTGCATAAAAAACATGGCACCCTTTTATCTTCCCAATTCCTACATTGCTTCCTGGTATTGCAGTGGTTTCCAATTAATAACTTGCACAATCTTGCATACAACGTAAGTCAGAATCAAACACCACTTCAATAAAATTGGTAATTAACAACTAGTATAAAATATTTTGTCAATTAGCTTCCTAGTTGGCATTGGTTAAACTTGAAAGGGGAATGACAGTGAAAGGGACAAGGGAAATCAACTTCCAAGTAGAGTTTATGTGTACTTGCCTGTTAAAACTTCCATCAGCTTGGAATCGACGGACTTTCTTACTATGGCCTTATTTTGAGTATGTGTCAGCGAAATTCTGATTTCCTCCAATGTGTGTTCCGTTTAGATCAAAACCGAGTCCTGCAGCTTTTGTTGGATGCATGATGCCATTTATGCTTGGAGTATGCTTTCTCTGCCCATCAATGGATTGCCTCTGGCACAAGTATCATTATTGTCCAAGCTGCAATCAGAAGGTGACGAGCTTTTACTGATCTAACTTTATGTTCCGCGCCTATTTCATGGATCTCATGTCGACTTAAACTTTGATGGTTTACTAAGCAAGCTTTCTGCCTTTTTGTAGGTTGCTGATTTTGAGAAATCCGATTTTTGTTTGGTTATGGACCCTCCAAACTGGGAAGAAAAAAGTTTTGCCTTACCTGCATGAGGGCATAATCTTGGATTTGCCTCATATAACCCCTTCTCTTTTTTTTTTGTGTATTTTTGTGTACATTTACGTGTTTCTTGTTTGCTCGAGAGAATGAATGTGAACTAAAATGCAGTTTGTTGTTTTTGTTATCTAATACAATAGATCTTATTTTCTATTGTTGATTGCCCTTTTTGAGTTTTGTATATTTAATAAAAAATCTTGCGCCCTTGTTTTTTCAATTTCCCGGGTTAAATTCACTCACTAATATCTTAATATTATAAGTTTGTTTGCGTAGAATCTTGTTTAGCAATGCAGTTGGGAGATGAAAAATACTTATGTACCGTAAAAAGCACTTATTTTGAAAAAAACACTATTTTTTTAGAAGTACTTTTCTAAGAAGCTATTTTGAAAAAAGTGAGATGCCAAACAGGCTCTAAAAGTAATTGAAGATAGTACCTATTGCAAGCTTAATTAAAATAGAGTGGGAAGAATACAATCTTCCATTTGTAGAACCTGTTTTTCCTATTTCTATAAAGAAGCTATTTTTCTCATTTTTAAATAACTTAATTTTTAAAGAAAATATTTTGTTAAAATCTTTAACCAATCAAACATGATTTTTTTTAAAAAAAGAAAATATGTCGATCAAGGTGTCAGAAATCAGAAATATGGAAGAGATCGGCCAAGATTAATCTTACTAAAATAGTACTTCCTACACGTGCTAAGTAATAAAACAGTTGTATTTTACAACTATAATCAACATAAGGAATTGAGAAGTGACAATACTTGTATTATCTATAAAAATTAAACAATGAAACAAAAAATGCAAAAATATATTTTTTTAAAAAGTGCAAACTAAGATAATTAAACTTCTATTGTCCTTCAATATGATAAATAATTCTCGTCATTCTGGCTTGATTAAGCATGATATGTTATTGATCTTTGAAATTATCATATGCATGCACAATTTCCTCACGATCTTTGAAATTAGCATATGCTAGCACAATTTCCTCATGATCTTTTGAAATTGTCATACGCATGAACAATTTCCTCACGATCTTTGAAATCACCTAGTTCTAAGCAGTAAAATAACATCATGCAAAAGTATAAAGAATGAAGGGGCGAACAACAAAAGATGACATTTAAGTGGATTATCGGAAATTCCAAAGTATATTGCAAGTGATGAGACCAAAACTGTGGTCCATAAAACAAACGGATGATTAATTTTCTACGGTCATTGAAATTATCACACGCATGAACATTTTCTTCACAGACATTGAAATTATCACACTCATGAACAATTTCCTCACGGTCACTAAAATTATCACACTCATAAACAATTTCCTCAGGGTCACTGAAATTATCACACTTATGAACAATTTTCTCACGATCTTTAGAATGATCATTCTTTTGTGATTCCACCATACTTTCAAAAAGTTGTATGCTTAGATTTGTCGATGGGTAGATATAATATTTCTCTTTTATGAAAATCTCAAGTATATATAAAAGAAAAATTAAGTCCTAGTTGAATTAAATAAGTGACAAATCAAATATATAAGAAGACTCCTGTTAAAATACTACTTCAAATGAATTGCAAGAAATTCTAATCCTGATCAAGTTTCAATTTTAAGTCTTAATAATTTTTGAAGTTCAAAACATATTAGTTTCACGTGAATTAAAACACATTGAACCTATGTAATGTTCTAACTTCCAATATAAATATGCACAAATTAAAAGGAAGAATTAACCTAGCAAATCACTATTAGTTAGAGTCGTGTTAGGAGTAGAAGTCCTTTATCCCTTTTTTTATTTTTATTTTTAATATCACTTTTATCAGGATTTTTTTTACGGCAATAACTATTTAATAATTAACCAACCATTTGCAGAGGGTGAAAGATCAGTTATAAATAATTAAATTCTATTAGTAGTGCAACAATCATTTTTTTAATATCCTAATATATGGTATTAGAAATATATGTATTTATTATTTTAAAAAAGAAAAAATAATAAATAAAAAGTTCTTATTGGCACATTTATATCTTTACATGAAATTAATAACAATTTATACGTGATAATAAAAAGTTTATCCATCCAACATTGAGAGGTTATTTCTCATAACTAATACACACATAATTTATGAAGAAATCTATATTTCATTTTATAGAAGATAAAATGTGAAATAATTATATGTATAAATAACAAACTTTGCAAAGCTAGTATCTGCATAAAATAATATTATAAATTTCTTCATAACTAATCTCTGCATTACCAGCATCTCTATAACTCTTAATCAACTATACCAAATGATCCAAAAAGGATTTTTAAAATATATACTACAATGTATTGAGAATATTGCAATACAAAGTAATTCACTTTATACTTTAGATAAATAAATCTTTATTTTAAAGTCTATTTTATTTATAAGTTCATTAATTAAGTTAAATTTAACGCAAATATTTTGTTCAAATAAACAACTTACTTCCTGCATAACCCTATAAAAATTTATATTTGAATTAGTCAAAATACATTTATATTGTATTTCAGAAAGTTAGAAGCTGCTTTTCTAGTAAAACTAGGGAAAATAAATTGTATTTCATGTAAAATCAAACCTGTGATCATTAATTTAGAATATAGTGTTCAAAAATATTTTCATATAAAATATAAAACATTAATAATATCAATCTATAATTATACTAATGATCCACAATATTCTAGATAGATAAGTTTACTGTTACATTTTCAAAAATCATACTTATCATATATCTATCATATTTTCAAGAATAATTTTATCCTAAAAGACGCATATTTACTTATTGAGCCACAATCTTTTAGATAGGCACATTTATGACACGTCTATCACACGTTTTCAAGAATTAATTTTATCCTAAAAGATATCTACTTATTAATTCACAATTTTCTAGATAGATAAGTTTATGACTCATCTATCACACGTTTTGAGAATTATTTTTATCCTAAGAAATATCACTCATTGATCTAAAAAAATTTAGATAGAAAAGTGTAAGACACGTCTATCACACGTTTTTTAAAGTCATTCTTATCCTAAAAGATATCTATTTATTCTGAATTTGGTACATCAATTAATAAGTTCACACTCACATATATATTAATACTAGACATGGGACCCCGTGCTAGCACGAGGCCCAATATATGTTACTGTTTCAGTTTCAATTTATGTGGTGATAAGGGTAATATACTAGATATGGGACCCCGTGCCAGCACGGGGCCCAATATATGTTACTGTTTCTGTTTTAATTTATGTGGTACATATGAAATTTGAAGTGAATCAATTTTTTAGTATGTTTTTATATATTTTAAGTTGCTAATTATTTGTATTTAGAGTATGTTTTACGTAAATATATTAGAAATCACAATAATTAACAAGTTAATATAAAAAATAACTTATAAAAAATTCATTGACTTTTGAAATTTCATTTGTATCACATAAATCAGGACCGAGTAATATATATGAAAATTACATAAAACGTACTATAACTCAGAATAATTAGCAACTTAAAATATCTATATATCTATATTTCTCCCAATTTATGCGGCATAGATGAAATTTTGAAAGTTAACAAAAACTGTTTATATGTTTTGAAATATTTTAAGCTATTAATTATTATGATTTATAATACTTTTTACATAAAAAAATTATTTATATAAAGTATAAAAGAGAAAATTTAGAAAAAGGAAACATAAATGTCAGCAGGATTTAATCTATGTTAATTTCTATGTTTTAATTATTGTAATATCGATTGAATTTGGAGAGACAACTAAAAATTTTTAAAGGATTTTTTTTATAAATTTTAAGTTGTTAATTATTATAATTTATAATATTTTTATTAATTTTAAACCAATATATGTTTTTCTCTGTCTCAATTACATGAGACATATGGAATTCGGAGAGTCAACTAAAATTTTAAAATATGTTGAGTTGTTAATTATTATACCTTATAGTACTATTACGTGATTTTCAAATAAAATATGTATTTTTTAATTTCAATTTATATGTCATTGATATAATTACATATATTAAGTAATGAAGAATTAATGTGTAAATTATGTGACACCTATGAATTTTGGAGTGTAAATCAAATTAGTTATATGAATTTGTTTTAAAAAGCGGTTAATTATTATAATTTATAATACTTTTTATATATTTTTTAAATGATATATATATATCTTTATGATATTGATATTAGTATTATAATAAATTAAATTTTATTATTTTAAATTTATGATCTCAATTGTCAGCCTATGCCACATTATAAAATGTTCCAAAGTAGATATCAGATTTACAAAAATGTCGATGCCAGCTAAAGTAATAAAATAACATCTAAGGGCATGAACCTATATATGTATATATAAAGCTGAATATTGACAATTTGATGTGGCATCTCTCTATGACCAGTATTTGTATTCATCTTTTTTTTCCTTTTTTTGACATTTTATCTTTGTTTTGTATTTTTTATTTGTAATTTTTTTAAAAAGTATTTATGTCATACCCGATTAATTATGCCCTTTATAACATCCATTACACTAATATAGATTTAAGTAAATGAAAATGGAAGATGAAAAGATAAAAACTATTCATTTTTTATAACTGTTTATAATTATTTAGCCTATAAAATAAAAACAAAATAGTTGAGCATTTGTAACAAATAAGAACAAATTTCTTCACTTTGGCTCTTCTTCTTCTGACGATAATGATCAATATATGGTATCAACTTTTGTCGCTAAGATGTCCATCAAATTTCTAGGTCATGTGACTTTTTTAACAAAAGAGAAAGAGAGAATATCTCATTATTCTTGTGAAGACATTGATGTAAAGAAAGAGATTATGTAACAAAAAATTCTTTTCAAAATAAAAGACTTTTTGAAAAAATGTTTATTCCTCCTACAAGGAGAGAAAATTCATTGTGGTTGAGAAATTTATAAGAAGCCTGATTAGTGTTTCAAAGGGTAAGAAAAATTATTTGGAGAAAAAATCATTCTATTTATGGAATTCGTATCAAATTAGGAGGAGAACAAGCAAAAATTTATTTTGTGATTTGAAAAGAGAGAAAATTAGATATTATTTATTTCAATGTCATTATTCTTCTAATTTCTTTCTTCTTTTATTTTGTCTTGATTTTTTTGTATCTTTAATTAAAGTTTTTTTTTCTTATTTATCTTTAATTAGAGTTTATATATATTTTCTTAAAAAAGAATTTAAAA